TGTGGCTGTGTGTGCATTCTGTTGCCCAGTATGTGTGGCTGTGAGTGTATTCTGTTGCCCAGTATGTGTGGCTGTGTGTGCATTCTATTGCCCAGTATGTGCCCAGGCAGATGTCGGGGACCCTCATGTCCAGATGTGCTTCTCATCAGCAGCTCCAGGATCAGTGTCCTGATATCTCCGTGGAGGTGATGACACATAAACATAAACACGCAACTCTATCTGCTGAACATGTCAAACATTTCACTTAATTTACCATCACATCAGTAGGGTTTGATCCTTCAAATCTTTATCAAGTAATGTCCCAGTTCTTCAGACTCATCGGCAAGAATACTTCTACTACCGGGCAAGAAGTATCATACAAGCTCAATGACAATCACAGGTTCGACACTCTGTAATGGAATATGAGATATACATTACAAATCACTTCAAAGAACACCATTGCTAGTAAATATCATAGATCTGACACATGCTGTGTCGTCCAACCATGTGGCAAAGACACAGTGTGACTGTCAAGGCACACATGCGGCAAGTCTGAATGTTGGGTTGTCTTCTCTTTGTGCCGCCTCTTGGGAGTAGCCGATTCACTAGCCTGTAACAGGAGATGTTTGAACTGAAGCACAAGTTTGCATCAGTCAACTAGGAGTACCATATTCACCATATTTAGTGCCCTGCTCTGAAAGAGACACCTCCAACCAGCTTCTAGATGGTCTTTATCCATGTGTGGAGCACAGTGGTGTAGTGGTTAGCATGCTGGCCTCTCACGCCAAAGGCCGGGTTCACATCCTGGTGGAGACACCAAAATTTGTGACCTGGGTCTCATACTGTGTTGTGTCCCTGGGCAAGGCACTTCATCCACATTGCACTCAGTCCACCCAGCTGTTTAAAATGGGTACCTGAAAAGCGGATGTACGGACCTATACGGTCGCGCTTAGCGTTTAGCAGCAGCTTTGAAAGTACAATTCCGTCAGGGTAATAATGTAACGCCAGAGAACAGCATCGCGTTGGATTCTAGGCGTAAAAATTAGCATTATTATTATTATTATTATTATTTATGGGTAGCCTTTAGAAGCAGAACTTCCAACCCCATGAAAGTAAAGAGCTTGACCAGCCGGGGTCTAAGGGCCCTAGGCCCTGGTTGGGTCTGGGCTGGAACCTGGTTGAGGCGAATGCCTCCTGAAGTCAACATATAATAGCTAATTCTCTTTTCAGAAAAGTCACTGAAAACAGTGTATTCAGACCTTTTTGTGTGATTTTAAGTGATCAAATTGTACATGATAGTTTGGCATGAGATTTATCAGGGTTTTTTTGTGAGAGTGTGACATGAGTAATAAAAGCATGGATCTATCTCCAACTGAAGGCATGAGAGTTGGCAGGTATGTACATGTACCACCTCCTAATGCCCAAAGTATGTAGTCCATAGTTTCTTGTGTATGCTCAAAACAGTGAGTTTTCCTCAGCAGTGTACAAGGGATATGTACCGGGTAATTGCCCAGTAACAATTTTCAGTAATATCATATTTTCTTTGCTGACCCTAACTAAGATTGTTCAAAACTATTTCCGTGTTAGAAGGTATATTGAACTTTTGTTCCTAACACCATAGTCAGTTTTATTTGCACAGTGCTCTTGAGTATTCCAACACTAGGATGACAGTCTGTCAGTAATCAAGTCTTGTCAGGACAGTCCAGTGACTGACATGAGCATTGATGTTCACAATTGGAATATGACGATTTGCGTCATCAAAGTCAGTGAGCCTAACCATCTGATTCTGTTCAGGTACGGATACAGCTTTTTGAGAAAGGGGGGTGCACACTTCATTTTCACGAGAATTTCAATGGTCATATAATAAACTTTCAGTACAAAAGTTGGGGTGTACACTGAGCACACCTGCTGGGGGATCCACCTATGCTGTTAGTTGCCTTTTACAGATCGTCAAAGTGCGCCCAGTGCTTATTATGACAAATACGGCATCTCCAGCACGTGCATGACTTGGATGATGGTCCAATTCGTCAAGTTATCTTTTCTGTGTAAGGTAAAAAAGTTTGGCATGTTTGGTTTACGATTTCAATCCTGACAAGAAATGCAGATTCATTTTGGCATGGTTATTAGAGGAGGAAGGAGATGGTTTGTTATCTTTCTGTAAGTCAGGTTCTGAGGTACAAGTTGAACCTGAGGGAAAGGTGCTGTGGGATGCGTTTGCTGGAGAGTGAGATTCACAAATTAGAGGATCCAACTCCAAAGAAAGTACAGATGTGTTTGTTTTTAATCTGGTCCTTGAGGTGAGATGAAAGGAGGTTCAGTTTTGGAGGGTTGGTGTGGTAGCCTAGTGTCACGCCGAAGACCCGGGTTCGATTCTCCACATGGGTACAATGTGTGAAGCTCATCTCTGGTGTCCCCGTCATGATAATGCTGGAAGATTGCTGAGGGGCATTAAACTAAACTCATTCACTCATGTTTGGACCTTTTGTGCATGAATAGTGTTTGTTGATGTGTTTAAATAATCAGCCTACAAAGAAACTATACTACTGTTCAACTTGACACCAAGGGGTGGTCTGTTTTTAGAAGGTGACATTTGGGATTAATTTAGATGAAATAAACTCCTTAAATATGAATAGGAAAATTGGATCCAGTTACTAGATTGTATTATGATGGGCTCATGTTAACTGGGTACTGTAATGGATGCAGTGACTAGATTGTATTATGATGGGCTCATGTTAACTGGGTACTGTCATGGATCCAGTGACTAGTTTGTATTATGATGGCTCATGTTAACTGGGTACTGTCATGGATCCAGTGACTAGTTTGTATTATGATGGGCTCATGTTAACTGGGTACTGTCATGGATCCAGTGACTAGATTGTATTATGATGGGCTCATGTTAACTGGGTACTGTCATGGATCCAGTGACTAGTTTGTATTATGATGGGCTCATGTTAACTTGGTAGTCATGGATCCAGTGACTAGATTGTATTATGATGGGCTCATGTTAACTGGGCAGTCATGGATCCATTGACTAGATTGTATTATGATGGGCTCATGTTAACTGGGCAGTCATGGATCTAGTGACTAGTTTGTATTATGATGGGCTCATGTTAACTGGGCAGTCATGGATCCAGTGACTAGATTGTATTATGATGGGCTCATGTTAAATGGGTACTGTCATGGATCCAGTGACTAGTTTGTATTATGATGGGCTCATGTTAACTGGGTACTGTCATGGATCCAGTGACTAGTTTGTATTATGATGGGCTCATGTTAACTGGGTACTAGTTTGTATTATGATGGGCTCATGTTAACTGGGTACTGTCATGGATCCAGTGACTAGTTTGTATTATGATGGGCTCATGTTAATTATGACTGATATCCATACAAATCTTTGAAGGGCATTTAGAAGATTTTTGGATGTTGGAGCCTATGCTTGCTCCTTCATCAGGTGGCTCATGGGCTCATGATAACTGGTACAGTTATGGAACAAGTGACTATATTGAAGGAGCAAGCATACCCTCCGAATTCACAATAAAGAAGTTGACATAGATAAATCTTGCTTTTCTGATATCCGTACAGAATAAGTTTTTTGTTTAATTTCCAGATGCCATCAAACATAGGTGTATGTTCTTTTTAGTGCCTTTGATCATGGAACATATGATTAGGTAGTATTGTGGGTGGTTGGTAAATAGCTACATTAGATAGTATTGTGGGTGGTTGGTAAATGGCTACATTAGATAGTATTGTGGGTGGTTGGTAAATGGCTACATTAGATAGTATTGTGGGTGGTTGGTAAATAGCTACATTAGATAGTATTGTGGGTGGTTGGTAAATGGCTACATTAGGTAGTATTGTGGGTGGTTGGTAAATGGCTACATTAGATAGTATTGTGGGTGGTTGGTAAATGGCTACATTTGCGCCTGAAATGTGTTATACACGGTATAGAACACAGTATAAATCTAAATGAGCCGAGGAATGTGTCTTGATATTTGAATAACCATTATAAAAATTATCAGCATCCGCCTCCTGTAGACCAACAACTAGTCTGGAAATGAAAATATTTTACAGAAAACAAGTTCATTGAAAAAAAAACCCAGAATATAACGAAAAGGAGCCCTGAGACTTTCTTCATTTTCAAAAGCTGTGGAAATCTAGACTTGCCACATTTTCTAGACTTGTGTGGGCTTTCTTGGCTATATTTGCTTCAGGGTCTGTATGACAGACTATCCTTCCTGCTCCAGGGTAGGTAATCCAGCCTTTCAGCACTGTAGAGATGGATGCTGATGGTGTCTCACTTGGTGTCACGTGCGCCGTAAATCATATGGCTTGAAGGGCGGACACTTCGGTGCAGGATACAGTTCAGATGTGCAACAACATCACACCTTGTGTTATAGCAATTAATTAGTGGGTTAATTGGGCATTTTTAATGGACAGTATACATCATTATAAATCAAATTTATGCGCATATATTTTAGTGTTGAATTAAGGTTGCAATGCCGTGTTACATACTCAGGTTTCTTTATATGTCCAAATCGAGTGTGTATCCTATTTCTCTTTCAAAATTCAGAAACACATTTTTTGGATGAAATATTTCTATCATCTTTTTCTTGTCACATTACTATTCAAGAAATGAAACTGATATTCAAAAAAGATGTCCAAATACATTAGTGTGGGGATTCTCAGTAATCCTGACCTTTCAAAATCAATTTCTTTCACTTTCCAAGACGCCACACTGAGGGTGAGAAAATTCACAGTAAAAATTCTATAAAAGCTTTAGCTGCCAAATCTTAGCCTAGAGACTACAATCTTACATTGGAAGCAAGGTCTATCATTGAAGGTAAACCCCTAGTGAGGCTCCCAGCAACCTATAGCGCCGAGATCAGCTCAGTTCACTGACGTACACACAACTAACTTCATTGATGAAAGCATCAGCAGCGGAGGTAACAGAGAGGATAGCCTCTCATAGTATTGGAGGAGCTGAGCTTCTGTCTTCACACTGTGGCAGCGGTGGTAAGCAGCAAGCCAACCTCTCTCGGGTTTGATATGGGAAAACCGTTAGCTTGGCTCCAAAGAGAGGCAATAACAGTGTGCCTATGCAAGTAGAGAGTGTTTACTCACGTAGCGAGTGTGTAGCAGCCAAACAGATGATTGCCCTCTAGTGCTGTAGGAGCTTTTATACACCAGTGTTATAATTCATGATCTCATGACTGACCGTAACCTTGCCGGTCAGGTAACCAAGTGACCATAGTCTGTGAGTTGACAGTCAGTCAGCCGGAGGAATTAACAGTTCCTTGATGGCTTCAGTGACCTCTTGGAGCTGTCTAAGATAATTGGGTGAGTACAGATGAGCGGACTGGGTTATGAGAGCATTGTGGAGAGCGAGGGAGGCTGCATGTGTACGCTGTAACTGTCATACAGACTCTGACCACAGTTGCTCACCTGTGACATCCTGCCAGGTGGAGGAGGAATTAGGGGGAGTCCAGGCAGTAAATCATTACACAGGTAGATGCTATCACACATTCCTCCAGGGCTGTTGGTGTTGTGATTGTAGTGGGTGTAATACTAAACATATGATGAGTGATGTGGTGTGTTGAACATCTGGTAGCTGACAGGTATCATATGGTTAATTACCTTGTGTAGTAGGACAATACAGGTGAGTGAGTAAATACATTTTTATTTTCTAAATAATGTATTGCAACTGTAGAATACTGACTGTACTTTACATTAATTTGTCTGTACTTGTTCTGTTGACTGATGTCATAGGCTATACTTTAATACGTGTATCAACTATTGTCTATTATCTCATTTGGCGTCATGGTATATAGTATGTAATGTACGTATATAGCAAGGTGTTGCTGGCGTGTAAGCATTTTATCTGATAAAGAACAGAATTTTAATTCCTTGTGTAAATGATGGAAAATGCCAGAGCATGAGGTAGGTAGGCTGTAATACACCTGGTAAGGTTCTCTAGCTGCAGGATGGGTGATAACATCTTACACGAGTACATCATCTCGTTACTGCTGCACTCCTCAGCCCTGGTAATTAAGTAATGACTTTTATATTTTCACAGTTTTTAGTTACTGTTTTTAATACATTTTGGAAATGATAAAATATAGCAATACAAGGATTAATTTCTCAGCATTAATGTGGTTTCTCTTATATTAAACTGAAAAAAAAATCTAGCCATTATTTTTCTTTGAATTAGTGATTCTTGGGTCAAAGTCAATATTGCTGATGCTGATATCAGTGTTATAGGTAAATATTGACAGATATGTTAACCCATTCCCCTGGTGTAAATCATAAACTGAACTTGCTTCAGTGTTGTAAAGAGAGGCAGGGGATTAAGAAATTAAAAACTCTTTAATAACTAGTAATTAGATACCCGTTAATTACCATGCATCATTATTTTTGTTATGATCAGCGAATAGAAATGTAAACACAAAATACAGTGGTTAATGAATTCGTGAGCCAGCACATGAAATAGTATTGACCTTAACTGGTAAGGTGTATACTGTATACTGTATACATTATGCTATTCAACATTGATAGCAATAATCAGATATGTCATTCTACTTAATTGTACACTAGCATATAAGAAAAAAATTGTGTATCAGGGAAATATAATTTTTTTTATCTCGACAGAAGTTGTATAAAAAGAATACTAGCATTCCTGGCTCCAGGGATAATGATGACATGCAACTTTGTGATACAACAGTGGGGTTGTATATAAAGAATAGGAGCATCCCTTGTCCCGAAGATAGTGGTGATGTGCAACATTGTGTTACAGCTTGTTCCTCAGTCCTTCATCTTGTCTATATACATATCCCTTGATGTCTTTGAAGCATTCACAGTTTGATTTGATAACCATTCTCGGCCACAACTTTTGTTTCCTGGAGTGTAACCCTGCTGAGGAATGTGTACACACTGCCACTTAATCATGGCATATCTGGCAGCATCTAGAGACTTTCTCTGATCGCCATAATTCACAAAGTAATTATTTGTTCCACAAAGGTGAAGATATAATGGCCAGTATCTTTCTGTTCCTTGCCTTTGAAAAAAGTATGTGATTTATGTCTGTGCGAGAGCAATGAAACGGTCCAGTCCCAAGCAGGTATTTGTTTTTAGAAGTTAGTTTTTATTGAGGGAACAGGAAAAAGATTGTCTTGTCATACATTGTACCAGAGCAGAACAGGAGTAGATAACGCTGATTGGTATTTGTTATGATAGAAACAGGTTAGATGCATGCTGATGTCGTCTGTTGTGCCCATGAAGGATATAATTAGGCAATACTGACTGATATTGTCTACTAATCCAGAGACAGGGAATAAACAGATTGTAGATTGACTAGATAATAGCGCCTGAAATGTCTTCTGTTGTGTTAGAAATGGAGGATGAATAGACAGGATAAATTAGAAAATCGGGCCTGATGTGTTGTCTGTTATTCTAGAAACAGGGAGTAAGTTGACGTTATGGACTAGATAATAGGGCCAGATGTGTGGTTTGTGCTGGAAACAGATTTTAGAGACAATTCAAGGACAGTAATCGGGATAATATAGGTAATATTATCTGATATCTTCTCTTATGATGGAAACAATGAACACATGAACAATATTGTGATGTCATTCTGCTGTGCTTCAACCTCTGTAAGGATTTCAGCTTTCTTGTCAGTGTTGCTCAGGCTGTAGTCTGCTGCACACTCCCTTAACCATATTATTTCCCCTTCCACCCAGCCCTGACTGCAAATACATTATAGAAGAAACTACATTTTCCTCAGGTTCAGGGGCTCCTTTTCAATTTATATGGAATCATTTGTTTGTATCAAATTTGATTTTTTTAGGGATTAGGTGTCAGTGTTTTCATTGTACCTTAATGGTGTAGATGGTAGCGTCATGTTTACTTTGTTACTTAATGTTGTAGATGGTAGCGTCATGTTTTCTTCATAACTTAATGATGTAGATGGTAGCGTCATGTTTTCTTCGTAACTTAATGGTGTAGATGGTAGCGTCATGTTTTCTTCGTAACTTAATGGTGTAGATGGTAGTGTTATGTTTTCTTCGTAACTTAATGATGTAGATGGTAGCGTCATGTTTTCTTCATAACTTAATGGTGTAGATGGTAGCGTCATGATTTCTTGTACCTTAATGGTGTAGATGGTAGCGTCATGATTTCTTCGTACCTTAATGGTGTAGATGGTAGCGTCATGTTTTCTTCGTAACTTAATGGTGTAGATGGTAGCGTCATGTTTTCTTCATAACTTAATGGTGTAGATGGTAGCGTCATGTTTTCTTCGTAACTTAATGGTGTAGATGGTAGTGTCATGTTTTCTTCATAACTTAATGGTGTAGATGGTAGCGTCATGTTTTCTTCGTAACTTAATGGTGTAGATGGTAGCGTCATGTTTTCTTCATCCTTAATGTGTTTCTTCATCATGATTTTTTCTTAACTTAATGGTGTAGATGGTAGCGTCATGTTTTCTTCGTAACTTAATGGTGTAGATGGTAGTGTCATGTTTTTTTAGTAACTTAATGGTGTAGATGGTAGCGTCATGTTTTCTTTGTAACTTAATGGTGTAGATGGTAGCGTCATGTTTTCTTCATAACTTAATGGTGTAGATGGTAGCGTCATGTTTTCTTCATCACTTAATGGTGTAGATGGTAGCGTCATGTTTTCTTCATCACTTAATGGTGTAGATGGTAGAGTCATGTTTTCTTCGTAACTTAATGGTGTAGATGGTAGCGTCATGTTTTCTTCGTAACTTAATGGTGTAGATGGTAGCGTCATGTTTTTTTAGTAACTTAATGGTGTAGATGGTAGCGTCATGTTTTCTTTGTAACTTAATGGTGTAGATGGTAGCGTCATGTTTTCTTCATAACTTAATGGTGTAGATGGTAGCGTCATGTTTTCTTCATAACTTAATGGTGTAGATGGTAGCGTCATGTTTTCTTCATAACTTAATGGTGTAGATGGTAGTTTATCATGTTTTCTTCATAACTTAATGATGTAGATGGTAGTCATGTTTTCTTCATCTTAATGTGTAGATGGTCGTCATGTTTTCAGTAACTTAATGGTGTAGATGGTAGCGTCATGTTTTCTTCATAACTTAATGGTGTAGATGGTAGCGTCATGTTTTCTTCAGAACTTAATGGTGTAGATGGTAGCGCCATGTTTTCTTCATAACTTAATGGTGTAGATGGTAGCGTCATTTTTTGTAACTTAATGGTGTAGATGGTAGCCATGTTTTCTTAATGGTGTAGATGATGGTAGCGTCATGTTTTCTTCATAACTTAATGGTGTAGATGGTAGTATCATGTTTTCTTTGTAACTTAATGATGTAGATGGTAGCGTCATGTTTTCTTTGTAACTTAATGGTGTAGATGGTAGCGTCATGTTTTCTTCGTAACTTAATGGTGTAGATGGTAGTGTCATGTTTTCTTTGTAACTTAATGGTGTAGATGGTAGCGTCATGTTTTCTTCGTAACTTAATGGTGTAGATGGTAGCCATGTTTTCTTCAGTAACTTAATGGTGTAGATGGTAGCGTCATGTTTTCTTTGTAACTTAATGGTGTAGATGGTAGCGTCATGTTTTCTTCGTAACTTAATGGTGTAGATGGTAGCGTCATGTTTTCTTCATAACTTAATGGTGTAGATGGTAGTATCATGTTTTCTTTGTAACTTAATGATGTAGATGGTAGCGTCATGTTTTCTTCAGTAACTTAATGGTGTAGATGGTAGCGTCATGTTTTCTTCGTAACTTAATGGTGTAGATGGTAGTGTCATGTTTTTCTTTGTAACTTAATGGTGTAGATGGTTTGCGTCATGTTTTCTTCGTAACTTAATGGTGTAGATGGTAGCGTCATGTTGTCTTCGTAACTTAATGGTGTAGATGGTAGCGTCATGTTTTCTTCATAACTTAATGGTGTAGATGGTAGTGTCATGTTTTCTTCATAACTTAATGATGTAGATGGTAGCGTCATGTTTTCTTTGTAACTTAATGGTGTAGATGGTAGCGTCATGTTTTCTTCGTACCTAAATGGTGTAGATGGTAGTGTCATGTTTTCTTCGTACCTTAATGGTGTAGATGGCAGTGTCATGTTTTCTTCGTAACTTAATGGTGTAGATGGTAGCGTCATGCATTCAGTGACTGGTCTGCATGACCCATCTGATGAGAAAGTTCCTTTAGGATCTGTGGATAAGCTGTGATAAGATTCTCCTTAGCTGATAATAATGCTACAGTAATGTGTGTAACAATCACACACTGATTGTTTGTCTGTAGTATGTAGGAGGACTAATGTATGTGTACAAGTTTTCACCTGTAATGTGATTACCTGTGTGCC